TATAATTTATAAAAATATAAAATTGTAAAAATATTTAGTTTAGTATCCTACCTACAGATGTAAACAAGTTCATACGTATTTAATGTAACACAAGTAGCCATCAAGCAAATCTATCTATCCCGATAAAGTGAGGATGAGACATGCATGTTTTCTTGACATTTTTGCAAGTTTTATTACAGATAAAATATTTACCTTTCCAAAAATCAAAAATACAGGTTATTTGAATATAACAATTATGAACCACAATGTTTAATTCAAATTTCTAAAATCAAATAAATGCTTAAAAGATAAATGATTGTAAATATGTTACAGTCATACAAGTGTATTTTTCTCAAAAATTCCATTTTTTGTTTCGTTTATAAAATAACCTCACATTTTTCAATTTGAAGTGATTATATAAGAAAAAAATTGACAGGATAAGACTATTTTCTTGAATTACTGAATTTCTGCAGTCAAAAGGAAACCTTATTTATAAATTGAAAAGAAAAAAAAGAAAAGCTTTAATTTTAGCAAATGAAATATATTTAAACCATTTTTTTGAAGTGCTTTTTTTTGCTCTTCAACTCTCATCCCAAAATTATTCTTCACTGTATTTCTAATTTTATGGGGATAGACAGAAATAGTATGATCTCAAAGAAATGTGTTTGATAAAATGCATTACTTCTCCAATTATAATATTTATTACAAGAAGTTTTGTAAGTCTCAATATCGGAACATCATTGCAAACTTTTTATCACCGTTTATTCTTATATCTCAAACATTTTTATACTGATGTAATTCAACTTATTTTGTGTCCTGTTTGTTATTTCAATTCAGAAGTCTCACTTTCTAAAAGAAAAGAAATGTGAATCGAAAAGTTCAGAAATAAATAAAATATCCCATTTTTTCTTAAGTGATATATTTACAGAACACTGAATTTTTGTACAAAAATAATTTATTCAATTCACAGCAACCTAAAAACCTTTTTAAATAATTTAAATGGACATAGATCTTGATATAATTTTTTTATTTTATTTAGGCTTTGAATATTCTTGTAATAGTCTACTGGGTGTTGGTTTATCAGTATTATTTTTAGGTGTTCCATTACCTAACCGGTAGCCTTTCCCAGAAAATGCAGACCATGTTTGCTTTGGAGCTTCATAAGTAATATGATGCTTATCTTCAACCTGAAAATAAAATTAATTTGTAACATACCACTATGTCCTGGATGTTCATGTCATGCCATTTTTTTTCTTTGTGTTATTTCCATGGAAAAGATAAGTTAAGCATGATTTTATTTACAATTATTAAAATTATGCAATTTTCACATGTCATATACAGTCATATTTGGTTTCTTTTAAATTCTTTTGTCATTTTTTATTAATTCTCCATATTACGGTTACATTTTTCCATGAATTTGCATATTTTTATCTTTTTGATTCCATTTTCACATGTGCTTGCAGATTATCAAAGAGTTTTTCACATCTCCTAATTGTCATCTAATTTCTTACAATAATTATTCTAATTGTTGTGTGTCTGTCCTATAAATATATAAGTGAATTAATAGGGTAGGCTCTATAGAAGGAGAAAAAGAAATAGTAGAAAGCTATGCGGAGGAAACGTTAGTTTAGTTTTGTCACGTTTTTTGCCAAGGTCTACTACATTAGAGCTCACAAAAAAGCAAAGAGTTTAAACTCAATCAATGCAATCAATCATTGCTTCTTAAACTTTTACCAACTTTTGCTTAGGCAAAATAAAATTCAAACTGCTGAGATATTCTTGGAGATTGCTATGTAAAGAATGCATTATGAATTTTAATTAGGAAAATGAGCTCTCATTGAATTGTAATATCAGGCATTACAAAAAATAAAATTAGCTTGCAAACAGTGTAATATAATACAATAAGCGTATGAAATGGTATTTTTGTGACAAATTAATTCAATATTTTGCAATTTTGACACCAGTTGATTAAAAAAATAAGCAAACATTAAACACATTTATTTATGTGAGTTTCTTACAATAGTTGATCATGTAATGTTTTTTCTATTATGCAGATTACTCTGTTACTAAGCTCTGCGAAATCTGCTTGACTAGTCTGTCTGCAGTTGAAACTGAAATGTCAATTGCAGTAGTAGAGGAGCGTGAAATTTCTTTATTGACCAATAAACACAAAGTTAAATAATGAAAAAGCAACTGCAACTTTTTTTAAAAATATTCTCAAAATTTCAGTTAAAATTAATACTAGTTTTGTTTCTGTTCAAGCATAATGTTTTCATCGTTTAAAAAAAATAAAATAAAGTGCTTACATGAAGAGGCACACCATCAGGATAGTCATTCTGGAATTCTGATGGAAAATATCCATCTAATATATCTTGAAGGAATTGTTGAGTACTATCATCATCATATGACCGGTAAGATCCATTGTTTAAGATTAGCCCATTAGCATACAGAGTTAGTGGGATGCCAGCTGATCTCTACAAAATTATAGAAATTACATAAACGGACAAGTTAAAAGAATCAGTACCAATATGATTATTATTGTAAACTTACTTGAAAGGTGGCTCCACTTTTTGTATAACACATTTTAGATTCGCCTTGACCAGCAATTAAATTTAATTCTTGCACTGCCTGAAGTAACTTACCAAAATCAATGGAAGAATTAGATGGCATTGAGGAATCTGATGTCCACACTGACACTTGATTATCCCTGAGGACAAAACAAATTCCCAATATTTATGCTTTCACTAACAAGACAAGTAGGAAAGAATATAGACATCATTCATCCTACAATATAATTAATTTCCATTACATTTTGACATGAGAAAATAACTTAATTATTTTAAATACCCTATTAATTATTAAGTTAAAAATATTATTTTCCATTCTCTTCTCCATTATGTTCCGATATTAATTGTAGTTTTTCGAAGTTTACCCTTCCTTTTCAAGTTTCTCTACATCTTGATTTTTTCTCCCTTTCTGAATGCCTTAGCCCTTACAGTGTTCTCAATCCTGGTTTTAATTAAATTTTTACATCAATTCTTTAATCTTATGACAGAATCAAGTCAAGAAATTACAACTCACAACATTATCCCATCATTTATGCTTATTTATCTCTTTGTAATAGTATTTAAAATATTTAAAATAAAAATAACTTTAAATTTAACTTTCTCTAACTTAAAAAATAACTTTATTATTTTTTGACAATCGTAATTAAAATGTTCCATCTTTTAATACAATCATATCTTAAAAAATTTAATAGATCGCTTCTTCTTTCGAATGTAAGGCAAGGTTTTCCTCCTGAACATCTCATTCGAAAAAATACGAATTTTTCTAATTGTAGATTTATCCTATCAGATGAAACTATATTTTTACATTCCCTTTCCATACCCCAAAACTCTAATACTGATGTAACAATGAGCTACAAATGCGACAAATACAAAGCGTATCTGTAATAGTGCACCTAATTATATTTTCGAACGTATTCTTGCACCCACCGTGGATTTGCCTGGCAATAGTTTTAAAAATGTCAGTTAAGAATGAATCTCAAATGAAGGTGTTATAGTTGAATGTGAATGAAATGCAACGTGAAAATATATAAAAATAGTTGTCTATATTTTGTTATGTGGGCGTTCGACGCCTGACGACTGCGAATCTGCGTTCTGAGACTAAGACTAAGACTGATTCAATGGTAAAACGTTCAGGGGGAACCTATATACTTCAAGGACTTAGTGTTCAAAGAGGATCACAAAGAAATAATTATTAGGGTCGATTAATTGAAATGGTCCAACACTGGTTGCTCGACCATCTCATAAAAAGAATCATACTTTATATATAAATTCCCCTATTATGTGGCTGTTCAAAACCTTTAAAAAATGATTGGATGTGGTTCAGAAATGGTCATTTTTGTTTTAAACTGCGCACCATTTTTTTGCATTTGTCGACATTTACGGTTTTGTAAATTATCAGCAAGTTGTTGAAGCTTTTGAAACTAAAATACAACGGATAAAGTAAACTCTGGTCATCAAATCAAAGTGGGAATTGATTTGTATCTACCCAACGCTTTTTTGTAATCTACATAATTTGGAATTAGTACCTAATTACTAGGGGGTGGATAATAACGAAATGTAATTTTTTTCTTTTCACTTTAGAACAATACCTTTTTGTATATAAATTAGTTTTATTTTATGACAAAACGAAATGACCCATTTTTATAAGTCGTCTTTTGTATTTATCGTCAATTTCGATTCATAAGTGTTGTTTGTTGGTATTTTTTGTTGTTGTTTTTTTTGTTTTGTTTTTGTATTGTTTTTTGTTTTGTTTTTTGTTGCTTTTTTTACCTTTTAGCCTTTTTCACTGATTTCATTGATTTTAATATCATTTTAATGATACTTGCTTCACACAATATTTCTGAGGTGCAATGAATGTTCACCTCAGAATTCCTGAGTAGCCTATTCGATTTCATCGCTCGTATATTGTAATGATGGCAATTGTAAGTAGTATGTTATCAAAGGTTCCAGTGACGTGGTCAGTTCAGCTGATTTCGCGACAAATAAAGGCAGAGATTTTCTTTTAAAGAACAGTCCAAATGCAAAGTTTGCAAGCTGAGTTCACTTGAACAAAAAGAAAAAGCCTCGATTAGAACAGTAATGTATCCAACAGCTTGAGTTGTTCATCTAATGTGTTTTTTGAACAAATTTTTTACATAATTTTTCTTTGTTTTTAGGGCATTTTTAAAGCATTTTAACATAATTTTATTGATCATTTTGGCAATTTTTAAGTCATTTAAATCCACCCACTACTAATTACCTATCTTTGTAATTTGTAATCTACCTACTTTTTATTCGGGTAATATTTGCAACTGAAACTATCGATCGCAAATAAACAAATTTTGGAGAATTTTTCGAAGAATAGAATCACAGTCTTTACTTTTTTTGTGCTTTTACACATAACAGTGGATTTACTTTATGACAATATTAATGATATGTAGCGTACTACTTAAAAATTATGCCCTTCTAAAAAATCGAAATTTTGGATTTTTCCCAAATTTTTGTCAATAATATTTCTGTTGGAGGCCCAGATAAAAATTTGAAATTTGCACACATAAAAAATTGCTATGATACCAAACTGTGGTATAAATATCAACTTTGATAAGTGGGGACAAGGGGTAATCACATTATTTTTCAGCTATTTTGAACTTAAATCTACCATGATTTTCAATAATTAATATTTTATTATAAATAAATATAAAATCTGATATATAATTTTGATTGTTACTTTAATGCCATTCAAACTTATTTGTAATTGCCTAGGATTTCTTTATATTTAATCCTTATCAGAGAGGAAAAATATCAATTTTATATAAAACACAGTGCTTAAGATGATTATTTTTACAGTAATTGGTTCAAATTACAATAAAACCTATAAATAAAAATTAATAAAAAACTATAATTTTTATTTACAATACATTGTTATTGGATTAAAAATGTTTATCTTATGCACTTCTACTGACCTAGAGGTGAATCCGTTAGGTACCAGTTCTACCACACCGCTACTGGCCTATGGCCGAATATATTACGAACCAATCTGCTCTTAGCAACAGGCAAAAAATAATTATTTTGGTGCTTCCACCAACAAAATTTAAATTACTCATTTTCTGCATTTGTGTTGTATTAATTTTTACCAGACTTTGCACGGCCACTGCAACAATTGTGAAGAAGTGTGTGCAAAACTTTCATATCTATTCCTACACTACTTTTTGTGGAATCAATTGTGGTTACTTCTAACTGAATCATCAATTTCCTTTAATTCCTCACATCAGACATTCTTTCCCCAGAAGCAGTGCAACCACACAGAGTGAATAAGAGTTCACAATCAAATTGATTTCATTGAAAATAATGAAGTATGGTAAGATAGGTTGTATTATCAGATTACTTCAAACAGTGTCATCATGAGTAGCTTATATCACAGGGGGATTAATTTATGTTTAAGGTGGCATTAATAAATAGCTTTTAATTAAACAATGTGTTCGCTTCACTCATTTAATAGCATTCGTACAGTTTGCTCTAACTCATGCTTCCATTCTGTGAGAAATCTATTAAGGTCTATTGGAGCATGTTGCATGTGTGAGTCTGATCTCAATGTCATTCATTGACTTCTGAATCAGATGGTCCTTTAATAAATGATTCTAAATATATTGTTTAAATTAGTTTTAACTTGTTTTTTGTTGGAACCAATGTTTACCGCTGACAAACAAGATTCACTACAGTTCTAAATCTTTGTTTATTGTAGGAAATTCTGCCAAGAGGAAACGTGTACTTCTGCTAATTTCCTTTGTAGATCACAAGTACCATAAAAGTGGAAAGGACACAGAAGTTAAAAGTTTTTGTTAGTAGATAGAAAAGATATTTTTTCCTCATAATGGAAAAGACAAAATATAACTAAAAAAAACGTAAACAAAATAAGTAATATTTAAGTAATTCTACAATGGTGCGATGAAGATAAAAATAAAAGAGGAAAAGGGAAACAAGTGGATTAAGAAAGGAAAGCAAATCATACCTAAGATTTGCTCATAATGATACTTTTTAAACTCGTTAAAATATGCTACTCTATTTTACTAGATAAAGTAATGTAAGATACATAACATTACTAACAGAACAAGAAAACATTACAAGTCTTAAAATAAAATACATACTTCTCAATGCAATTTTCTAATTTACTCGAAGAATTTTGAAGACTACTGTTCCAGTCATTTCCTTCTGACTTTGAATTGTGCTGTGCCAGTAATTCCTAAAAAGTAAAAAAAAATAGTGCTGAGTGCTAATCTTTCCACAGAAGCTTTCCTTATTCATTCTTCCGTTACTTTTTTCATAATTAGAGTATTTTATTTAGATATTTAAAGTGAGTGTTTTAGATACTGAAGAGTAATAAGTACAATTTCCTTTTACTTATTTCTCTTATAGTATTAGAAGCAAAGATCATCTCCATATTCAGAACCAAGTTTTAAATTAACAAAAATGACTGCATTAATATTCAGAAACAAATACTTGTTGTTTATCAGAACATCAACGGATTTATTAGAAGACAGAGATAATTTCTCTCATCACTGAGGTTTTTTTTCTTTTTCTTCTCCGAAAATATAATTCAACTGTAACACCAAATTCTGGTTAAATTTGTTAAAATTTTAAAAATTAATGTTCTGTCACCTGATTACTCAACATATTAGATGTCTAAATTTGATTTGATTCAACTCCAGGCAAGATCCTATTGAAATCTTATTCTGATTATGAATGTTTCTTAATGATTCTGAATAGCTTTATTATGTTTGATGTAAGTGATAACATTTTCATGTGTGTTGCAATGTCATAAGTAGACATCGGATGTTTAGAAAAATGCCTATTTATTCTAGTGAGCTTATTTAAAGGCTATTAATATATATGCAAAAATCATGACAAATGATGATGTATGACGAATAATACTTATTTTTGCTTTTTTTAACATAAATATTTTTAGAACCAGGGCTTTTCTGCCTTTTATGTATTATTTTTATATACAATACTAAGATATCAGAAAATCAACCATAATTAAATGTGACCATTCATTACAAAACCTTCAATTCACGTCTTTGTATTTTAAATTATGAGAGAATTCCTAAAAGTATACCAAGAGATTTTTCTCCATTTTCTTATTTTATATATTCCAGCCATGTTCTGAGAACATGGTCACTTGGTAATACACGTAGGGCACCAAAATTTTACATGGAAATAAATGTAAATTCCCAGGTTTCAGTGATGCTAATGTTGGACTTCTAAGATATAGTGCAGTCTCATCAGTAGATGTTGAGAGATCCTTCTCTGCATTCAAACTGATTTTGTTTCCCAATCGTTCCAAAATTTGAAATTGTGATCCTTGAAAAGTTACTGGCAATATTCTTAAAAGAATCACTGGCAATATATTGCAATGCAAAGTATAATAAGAATAAAATGTAAAAGAGTTGTAAATAAGTAAATCTTGTTTTACATTAAAATATACATACTTGTTTTGTACATTAAAGTTTACTAAATAATATTCACAAAACTTACAATTTTTCATTTTATTGGGTATGAAACTTATGACAGTGCCTTTTCTCTTTTTGACATTTTCAATGCCTTTATAGACACCTAAAAGACATGCTTAAGCATTAGTTTTAGTGCCTAAACATCCGATGTCTGGTCATAAGTGATATTCGGTTTTCATCTTGGTAACAAAGTCACTTCATCAACTTGAAATCAGAAATTAATTGGTTTTTAATATTTTCCCCTTATTAAAAAAATCTACACTATATACATATTTAGAAAAACTTCTAAAACAATACACTTTTCTAAAACTAGCACACATTCCAATTACAAATTTATGTTCTAAAACTTGTGTGAATACCTCCAAAGATTTTATCTTTTGTTCAAACTGATTACATTTTTCCTGTAGTTGTTTACATCCATTACCAGAAGAACAGCAACAATTCTTCTCAGACTGTATTTGAAGCATTTCTTCCAAATCTGAAATCTATAAAGCAATAACTGAGAATAATTAATGAACCTGACCAGACCTAACAAAACAATCAAAATATAAAGCATATCTTAGAGTGTGTCAAAAATATGTTTATAAAACTTCTACAGGTATTCAGTGATAAAATTCCGCTAGTGCCCCACCAAGTTTCCATGTAAGTGTTACAGACTAGGGGCTGTGAGCTATGGGAACTGGGAAGAGGGGGACCAGTGTAATCATAGGTTAAAAGGGCAATTCTGTTTTCAGCTTTTCTTTTGGAGGGGAGGGAAACAGTGTGAACGTCATTACCACCTACACCAATATTTCATACATCTTTGGAACAACAATAACCTTGATTTACATAGCAAAAGCTTCTAATCTTCTCCAAGTTGTGCATTAAACATACACACACACACACACACTTATATTCTTACAGACATTATGGTAAAACCCCTTTTTTCTTCTCAGGGATTCTCAAAATTGAACTGACCACACATTGACCTTGAACTTTGAAACTGAATCTGCTACATTTCCTTTATGCGAACATACAGGCTAGTAAAGTAAAAAAATGATATGTTCATTTAAATAGTTTTTGAATGTATGTTTTCAAAATGTGTTGAATACTTAATAAATACTGTATGAAATAATAAATATTTTTATAATCCCTTCCTTTGATCATTCCAATTTTTAGTAGTTCTTAGAACAGAATTTACACAGATTTACCTTTTTTTTTAAACGAGAGACTTCTTCTACAACAGAGCCCATTTTTTGTTCATTGTATACAAGTTTGTCATGTATAAGAGCATTCTGATGTTCAGTAGAAGCTAGCTGTTGTAAAATGACATAACTGAGGTGCTGGCATGACTCGTCTGCTGCTATTGAAAAAAGTTTTTGTTAATTTCTTTTTTTTTACAATCACAATAAAATTTTGTACATTTTGTATTTTTATTCAAAACTGAGTTAAAAGGTAGTTAAAAGTACAGAGTAGTTGGGATTTAATTTTCTGTTTAACCTGGGAGTGCTCGCAATAGATCTGTGAGATCCAAGCAACGGCAATTTTAGGTTCCTGAATTATTGCGATGCATTAATCATCTGATATTTCACGTTTTCCGTCATTGTACTTTTCTGAAAACGCCTGGCCTTCTATTTTTATCCTGCTGCACAATAATTTCCTGTGAGCATGTTGAAACGTGAAAGCTGCACTGCGCGATATCTGTTAGGAATGTTGCCTGCACTGGCCCAGTGCATGGCGAGCTCCTGGGCTGAGCGGTACATATCATGGCATTATTTTCAGCCATGTCTGTGACAAGTGCCTATTCAGAAAATGCAATCATTTGTCTTATATATAATTGACTGTCACATTTTCTTCCCTAAGAGAAAGAAGATGTGCAGGAGTTGTCTGTAGGGAAATTGAAAAAAATGCGAATCTTGCACATTGAAAACAAAAGACTTACTAAATAATTTTGTGAAAAGTGAAAAATATGTTTATCATATGTCAGATCATGCAAAAATCATTTCTGGAAATTGCAATTAATATTATCTAATAAGATATTAAGATGTTTAATGATTTGTGCATGTACTCTGACAATTTTTACCTTTCTCACCATAAGTATTCAGGAATGGTTTCTGCAGTTTAGGATTCATTAACAATAGCATTGGGGGGCATGTCAAACTAAATCAAATATGTATTTCAATAAATACAGCTTCAGATCGTTTGCATTCACAAAATGTTGCAGCTATATCTGAGAGATACATTGCGGGCACTTGCGTGAGGCGAACTATTGTGGAAACTCCTAGGTTAAGAAAGCATGATCCACATTTAACATGATTGACACAACAAACAAAACACAGAAAGAAGAAGAAAAGAAGAAGAAGAAGAGGAAGAAGAAGAAGAAGAAGAAGAAGGAGAAGAAGAAGGAGAAGAAGAAGGAGAAGAAGAAGAAGAAGAAAAGGAGGAGGAGGAGGAGGAGAAGAAGAGGAGGAGGAGGAGAAGAAGAAGAAGAGGAGGAGGAGGAGGAGAAGAAGAAGAAGAAGAAGAGGAGGAGAAGAAGAAGAAGAAGAAGAAGAAGAGGAGGAGAAGAAGAAGAGGAGAAGAAGAAGAAGAAGAGGAGGAGGAGAAGAAGAAGAGGAGGAGGAGAAGAAGAAGAGGAGGAGAAGAAGAAGAAGAAGAGGAGGAGGAGGAGAAGAAGAGGAGAAGAAGAAGAGGAGGAGGAGAAGA